GCGAAGAATTCGTCAAGTTAATTTCTTATTTGAAAATGTTCACTCCTTCTTGACAGTTAGTGCCTTAACTCACAAAATCCCGGTCCGAAAAATTTCAATTTAGATCATCTTAGGACATTACTCGAGTAGATAAGTAGTATTCACGAATTTATTCTCAAGGGCAACATCAACGGGGCATGAGATTATCTTCAGGCTTCATTTCCCTATTAACATGGACGCCTTCATAACGCATAACAAATTCATATTGCTATTTGCCCAACGACCGATCGTCAACATTGATTTTTTGCTCGTTTCCAGAGGACGATATAAAACTCAACTCAACCCTCTTCTACTGGCCGCAAAACGTGATTGACGTGCTAGACGTCGCCAACAGTCGCCTGAACGGCCTACGGGAAAACTCTGAGGAGACTTTGAGGGCACGAGTAGCCGCTCTGGAGAAAGCTATCAACTCATCTAGTGGAAGCATCGAACAAATGCAGAAACGCGAAGTGCTTTCTAATGACGAGATTAATCGGGCCAATGGCATGCTGGACGCCTTTGACGCCATGTTGCAGGGTTTCACGGACGAGGCTGATGCCATCATAAGGTGCGCTGTCGTCTTACCGAAAATTCGACCCTTTAATGTGTGGCAGTGGTAGTTTTGTTGGTGGGACGTCGGTGATGGTGGTGGTGGTGGTGGCGCCGGCGGCGGCGGCGGCGGTAGTTGTGATGGAACGCTAATATTCTGTAGACTGTTTCAGTGTAGTTTAACATAATCTTAAGATATGATTTAATTGTTTAATGCAGGAACATCTTATCTTCGGTCTCGAAGCGTCAATTCCACAAAGTATATATATATATATATAATGTTAGGGGGCGCTCACCGATCGTTCATACGGAACTCACTCGTTCCGTTGCGCCTTATGGACTCTCTCTCGAGCCCAACCAGCAGCCGCACAGCGGCGCATGATATATAGGCAGAATGGTATTACCGACAAAGACAAGGGAGACTGGAATGGCCATTTCTGGCTTATTAGCCGTCGTCAGCCAGCCATACCCAAGCCCGAAGTGTTCCACACTTGTCTCCCTTGTCTTTGTCGGTAATACCATTCTGACTATATATATATATATATATATCAGGTGAATAATTTCAGAAATTAATCAGTGCAGGACTTGGAGTTCATATAGCAGAAACCGCTAGAGAACGCTGGGGGTCCCACTGAAGAGCCGAACCCCTCGCAGCTGTGTCACGCATCGGCAGAATATCGGCGAAACACGTGTCTGGGCTTTTAGCAAGTATCTATGTCGGGAGTACGGTATAATACATTTACCATAATATATATATATATATATTTGATGGATATAGGCGAAAATGCCGACCCCAGGTGTTGAGATGGAAGAAGGTAAAGAGATCTCTGGAGAGGATGATTTATTAATCTGACGTTTCACACTCATACTTGAGCGCATCATCGGAGATAGATTAAAAGTGGGAATACAAGGTTTAAATAGGTCTTTCTTACTCAGTACTGATAGGTCCATTGTTCTCTCTTCCCATTGGCCCTCTCTTCCTGCTCAAGTGGTGTCTGAGGGCCTCATATGGCGCCGGTAGGTCGATCCTACGGTTGATCGAGTTGGCGTTGGATTGCCAGCCTTCGATTATCTCTCCCGCCATTTTGCTTTCAGCTCGACCGATTACTTCTGCCTTGTCGAAGCCGAATTGATGGTCATTTTCGAGGCTATGCATGGCAACATGTGATCGTACATCTTTTCGCTTTACAGCTAGAGAGTGCTCATGCATGCGCGACCTTAATCGTTTGTCGGTCATGCCACAAT